AGTGGAAATCAACGTATTTTTAAAGCTGCATGTACATTTTGATATCAAATGATAAGGTATTATTAAGCTCATAACTCGATTCCCTTACAAGATGGAATGACGCACATGGTTTCGATCAAAGGACAATACAAAGCGCTATCTTTTGTAGGAAATATGACTAGAAGTGTTAGATGATTCGCTTTATAATATTCAAACAACATATAAAACACGTTAAAGATACCTCCAAGGGCTCTGACTAATGTCAGAATGCGAAATCTATCACAACAAAGAATGTGAGTATATTTTCGTGCTTTACGTTTTGTCACACAATATCATGTCCGTGACATGGTCAGTACATTTCCAGAAACATAACTCTGATTGTCTAATTCGATCTCCAGCGAACATTGGGACAATATTTGTTACTTAACCAATAGGCCGATTTCCAACTCATTTTTCGGAGATAGATCGCGCAAGAAACGGCACATCATTCCACACTGAACATGCATGAGTGACCGGGATCGTAAAGTATTGTGTTTTATAATAACCGCTGGCGATAACCATGTTGTACGTGAATGTTGTGTTTTGTGGGGATTGTGGGTGTCTGATTTTGGGAACTAATACAAATGTGGTGATATTATCTCTGTCGGCGGGGAATTTGTTCTCGCTCGGAAAGTCGATGCGATAGATTCATCCTCAATTCCAAATGCCCCTCCATGTTGCTTCCGATTAAGCTATGGTCATGAAATTTACCAAGGTACCAGTTCGATCCATTATGCTTACAAAGTTTAGGAGACGGAAGTCAGCAAGACGATTTGATGTGTTATCTCCGTTCATGCGTATATGGGTTACTGTTGGAACGTAGTGATGAACCTTAATTTAAGTTAGTGCGAGAAGAATGCCGCCCAACGGATCTTCCCGTGGTAAAACATAGATAATGCGAGACGTCAAAAGGAGTCTGGAAATTTTAAACTTTTGAAATAATTCACTTTTGGATCGAGCTACAGCCAAAAGCTGACCTTTGTGTAGCGCTATTGGAAAACGTTTCCTTCATGTTTTACATACCTATGAAAGCCTGGAGGCTTATAACCGGCGCTCCGATATGCACATTATTGGCTGCAATGTACTCGGCCCAGTGTGACGAGAGCGGCGCTTCATGTTCATATCATAGTATTGGAGGCGGGTGACCGATCCTTGATACTTACAAGCGCCAGACATGCACTGTGATCTAATTTCGTGAGGCTGAGACAGCGCAGCAAAGTAAAGTTGGCTTGTTTTGAGCATAACGAATCTTATAGGTCCACATACGGACGCAGGCAGGGAGGGGTGGAAGCGAACATAAGGGGCACGTAGCCGCTTCGGTCCCTCGGGATTCAGAGGTTCCCTCGGGATTGACAATCAAGGGCCCGATTACAGGGCTCGAAGGGCCGAATGGCTGGCCGGGGCTCTCCAGTCCGAAGGACCGGAGCCCTCTGATATCAATCAAAGGGTCTCTGGTGGTGAAAGAGGCCCATCTGAGAAAAGACCTTCACTTCGGTCGAGATCACCAACAATCGGCCCTTTGTCGGACTAAGGCCCATTTCCCAAGCACGGACAAGGTCTGAGCCCACGAATGCCATTCGGAGGACCTCGCAAGTCGCGTTGGTCGGGGTTCTCTTGTCGAACGCGATGTCCTCTGATCACAATGCACACATAAAAGGAAATTTTGTGCTGCTCGAGCCGGCCAGAGGCCCATTTGGTACCCATCACAGCCCACCACAGGGCATCTCCGTTGGTTCGGACCCTCTGAGAACGACAGAAGATTGATAGCAGTGGAAGGATGCATAATGAGTCAATGAGCCAGTTTAAGGTCTCCGATTCTCACAGGAGGCCTCAGTAACAACTGGGAGCCCTCTACCCTGCTTCGGCCAGTGGCTCGTTGATTGGAACTGGGTTCCCTGTGCAAATTATTTGACCCTCTGTGCCCGTATGTGATCTTTTTGCATCAGTGAGAGCCACTGCGTCGATCCGGCTGCAGCTGCCCCGGTGAGAAGGCAGCCTGCGTCGGTAGGGGACCGGTACACAATACATTCCATGAAGGCCTCGGAACGGATCAAGGGGCCCCGATTCCCACGTCACAAGATGGCAGCTGGTGAATACCTTGCGCGGGGATGGAAAGGTTCTTTAGCCACTGGCCGGAAAAGGTAAAACCCCTTCCCCTGATGTGCTACCATCTACTGGTGTAGTGCGGTGTGCTATGCATCAGTATATCTACCATCGTAGTGTACTACCCACGTCCTCCTCCGTCCCGCATATCCGAGGGTCTCTTAAGTTTGTAAAATCCACTGATGTCCTCTAGTAGCGCGAACGCCGGCGGAACCGGATTATAAGATGAAGGCAATTAGGTAAATTCCGGTAAATCTTTGAGGATTTTCATCAGGAGCCTTTATTGCGCTGTGTCCTCCCTTTTCAGCTTACCCAGACTCTCCTCTATACGACATTATTCTCCAGCGCTTCTGTTGCTCTCCTAAACTCTTCCTAAAAACATTCCTTCCTTCATATGGTTTCACACAGCCCTAAACTTCGTCGTGGTCTCTAAAATCTCCCGAAAACTCTGCATCTGTTTCCATTGTGTAGTTTTCGACGTCACCTCCTTTTAGAAACAACGTAGATATACATCGAAACACAATGCACCATGAGTCACAGCATTTATTAGTAATTCAATAGTTCACATAGAATGTCGCATAGCCATGCCTGCAACAAAGTACACTTAAACGACCACACACAAGTTGCATCTCTGGGCTGACTGTACACGGTCCACCACATTTTTCTGAACAGGAAGCATGCTAACAAGCTTGACCTAGCGGAGATCGCTATGCCATGCTAAAGCTCCTAGCATCGCACCTGAGACAAATAGGCGGTTACGTAGCACTTCTGATGCTCTGCAGCGGTTTTTGATGCACAGCATCGGAGCCAGTGCCGTCAAAATGACTTGGCTACAGAGCATCAGCGCTGGATACCCAGTAGTGTGCCCCAGTTTAAGATCAGTTGGTTTTTCGAGGGGGCCGGCACCTGCTGCAACTCGTACCCCGCTGTGCGTGTGGGCTGCCTGAACCAGACTTTGGAATCTGCAGACCGTAAAAATTCTAAGATTTGTCAAGAAGTGATATGGCAGTGTTTACGCAGCCCTTAATCGTGATACCACGAAGGTGGCGATGACGCACCGAAGACGGTGAAACTACGTCGGAGCTGGTGACATGGTGTTGTTACTGACGACACCGCGCCGGATCTGCAGGCATGACAACAGAGCCGGCCATGACGGAGGCCGTGAACGGGGGAGCCCGTGCACCTGAAAAACATTCAATAGCATATGAAATCCTAAGAGTGGAAACAGGGAGCCCCAACAGAACGGCACGCTCGGCATACAAAGCTATGGTAAACTTGAGTTCACTTCTAGTTGAACATGGGGGAATTTCTTCCACTGTCTACACCACAAATCATTTCACACCTCCAAATGATTTCTAAACGGATGGCTTAGCCCGTCCGTGGCATACGTTGGAAAATCTTTTGATAACCCACATTTTTTTCTCACTTTGCGAAGGCTGACAATATTGGGGTTAAAAAGAAAATGTTGTAGGTTGCACCATCGTGTACCATTTTTCTCAGTTAAAACGCAAATAAATGGAGCGTTCCTTTCACTCGTCATGCTAGTAACAACGCTGAAGTCAATTGTAGGTAAAGGCCATTGTGATGCATGCTCTGACGTCAGATTCGTAGCAAGGACGTTCTCCTGGCGCAAAAGCTAGATACCGGAAGCGACGGGACAGGATGGGACAAACGCAACAGCAGAGCACACGGTAGTGCATGACAAATGGCACGGTAGGACAGAAGACTTGGGCGGTGGGGGGGGGGGGGGGGGGGCAAAAATCCAAGGATTGAATACAGAGGGCAGAAAGCGGAGGACAGAGGACAAGACGGCCAGAATGAAAAATAGAAAACGGATGAACACAAAACCCGTCCGCCCTGGCCAGCGCACATTTATATGTTCTGTTCAAGACAAAACAGAACAGGACAGGACAGGACAGGACAGGACAGGACAGGACAGGACAGGACAGGACAGGACAGGACAGGACAGGACAGGACAGGACAGACCCGGCAATGACAGGCTCGGCCTTATGGGAGTTTTTACCTTCGCCCAATGATGGGGCCTCGGGGCTTCCCCGAAAGACGTTGGAAATTAGCAGGCTATGGCCACGGCAGACACGGCATCGGAAAGCTCTAGTCAAGCTGCATTAAATGGGTGTGACTGAATATGGGTAAACGCAATATTGGACAGATTAATCACGTCATATGCATCTAATTAGAACGCCTAGCTGCCTCCTATGTGAATAACTAAAATTGCTAAGACAATGCAGAGGATGACGTCATATGGGTTCGGAAAGCTTTACCAGGGAGTTAAGATATTGAACATCGCCAGGTGTGACCTGTGATGTCGTTTTCGCCGCTTGGCTTTTACAGCACACTCAGATGCTGAAGATTTGTGGCATTGCATGCCTCCCATCCCGGCAGGAACAGTGGGCACCGCGAAGAATCCAACCCCGTACCTCTGGTTTCCTAGACAACCAGCCCTACACTATTGGTACCCATGCGATATGGCATGCCAGATCAAAGCTGGTAAGGCTGTTGTTGCATTGACCCACTCAGCGATCTTAGGAAACTTTCATACTTTAACACTATAAAATGTCACATAGGAACACCTTCAAAAAGCAAATCTGTTCACAAAAATCATAGTTCGACCTAGCTTGACCTTGGGTGAGCACACGTGAAAAAAGAAACTAGGACGATATTAATGCACAACAGTGATATTGATATCCGATTCAAGGGTCACAGTCATCGCTCTGTTTAGTATCTATACGTACTAAAACCTGCCACTTTTAGAACGAATTGGTACTAAACACCGTTCCCCTCTTAGTTACGATACGTACTAAATATTCTCGAGGCCGTGTTGCCACGGTAGCGACGGTCAAGGCCGATAACAATGGGTTTCGCCGCCTTTCAGAGATCCGCGGGGACCATTTGATATGCGCAATATTGGTGGTCTTCATCGCGGCATTGGTATCTCATTTGACAGGAGCTGTGTGGGCAGTAGGTTTGGGATATGACGCTATTCAATTTCTTTAAGAGGCACAGGGAGGTAAGTAAATGCGCTAGGGGCATTACGAAGTGTCGAACTATTGAACATGCTGTTCGGTGGTACCACAAAAGTGTAACTACTGTGTTTTCAATTGTTTGCTGGAATGATTGTTCTTTCCTCCTATTATTGCAGCGTAGGTGAAAACCTTTGATGCTATTTTCAGGTCAGACAGCAGCTAGTGAATGAAATGTAAAAATTCCTGGCGGGATGACACATTTCCAGAGTGCTGTTGGAACATGGGCATTCAGAGGTGAGCCATTTCCAAGTTCTCACTTGTGTGCATAATTTATTGTTGGCAGGTGATTGTTGTATGCCCACCAAACAGGGATGGAGACTTACAGGTAGTCCAACAACAAGGCATATTCTAGGGGTCTCCTTTGTTGTTCATCGGTGTTTTCAGGTGCATCAATTGCAATGGTCATTTTGCACCCAGTTCTAGGGGTCTCAACACACCATAGTTTTCTGCTCATACAGCACAGATCATTGCTAAAAATGAATGGCACAGCTGCATGAATCTAGGCTGCCGTGTTTGGACACCTTAATTTAAGGCTGACTTGGGGCTTTCTTGATCTCTAGGAGAAGTGAGGGTATTATGGGAGAGAGGCCTGCCAACCTGCAATACAAGTTTACCACTTCATTCAAGGCTTGCAGAGCCTGCATGATTGTATAAGGTCTTGGAAAACCAGAGCTGAGTAATTTGTTAAATAGGCCAAGAATCAGGCATCTCCCAGGACTTGGTCTGCATCTTAAAGTTGGAGAGATAGCCTTAGGTTTGTCTGTGCATTTTGTGTCTGGTGGCAGAGTTGAACAGCTCAACTTGCACAATTTGCTCTGCCTATAGGTATGATTATATGAACATTTGCAGTATTGAATTGTAACAGTGTCCACTCTTCTTATCACAGTGATGTGAGTACAGTAAGGCAAGTACAGTAAAATGCTATGATGTTGGCCTTATGATGCTACAGTCGTGTTTTTTACTCAAGGGTTGTACACATATACATAATAAAATATTCAGACGGGGGATTTTAAATGCTACCAATCATTCAAGACAAACTGCACAGGAGATCTCTCATATAAGGCGTAGTCATGGCACCTGATCGCAACCCTCTGATATGAAGCATCAAGCAACCACGATAGCGATGCCCTACAAACGCTGTATGACGTTTAACCCCTAGTTATGTACACCCCAGGGAAGAATATAAAATTCTGATCAGGTTAAACTGTCCCGGGATTCAATCTCCCTTCCAGAATTGTGTTTGCATGACAAAACCGTGGACCATTCTTTCAGAGTCCAACCGGGAAGCGCTAGCCGCACGCCTCCAAAACGTACTCGCCATTCAAACTAATGGGTTGTGTAGCAGTCAGCTGGCTAACTGAGAAGCTTCCGTGCCACTGACGTGATCAAATATGGTATACTTGACGTCATGCGGGCTTTGCTTCCAAACTACCTCTATTCTCACGCAAGCTGGATGTTGCCACTTTTTGATAGTGTTAAACGGTACGGGCAGGCCCCTGGGTAGGCCCAACTTGATGGAAACTCCGCCCCTGATTGGTTGCACGCATTTCATTCTGTCAAGTCTTTTAATTGATTGTCATGTGTGCATGTTTGTGATAAACATGACATAATTTGGAATAAGGCCTGACCTTGTGGGCAGAAAGTGTACCAAAAATCAGCTATGACATCTGCTTCTGCTGTCTTACTATCAAATATGAAATTGTAGGGCGAAGTCATGAAGACTGCTAGTGTGAGACCCAAGGTGTGAATGATTGGCAAGAAAATTGGGTGGTGATTGCAATACTGTCATCATTCTGCCCTGGCTTAACACTAGTGTATTGGGATGTATTATAATTTTTGTCTGACAGTCTGTATTTGTATTTTGTCATAATGTTTACTGTAAGCCGATTTATTGGATGTATATCTAGGTTCAGTGCTACATTTCTGTCACCAGTGTTTGGAAAAATGCAAACTTTTAGGTGTTCCTTATCTTTCTCAGCATTCATGGTCAGGGTCTACTTTCTTACCTAACGTTAGAAGAAAATAATTGTACACCATTCGTCGTGTTTAAGGCAGGACATATCGTAAATAATCACAAAACAGGTAGATTCATGCTTTTACCTTCGAATTTTTTATAATTACGATGGCGAGCTCCCGAGCGCCACACACACACACACAGCAGCTGCGACACCGGCGCCGTCACTGCGCGCGGTCAAAACATTACCGGGACACCCAAGCGTGATTTATCTCATTTGTGCCGCGCCCCGTAGCAGCAACTGCTCCTCTCGCCCCCCCCCCCCCCCCCCCCCCTTCTGCCTGGCCTCTGACCGTACCCGACACTCGCCTGCTGGACTTCGTCGGAATCATAACCTATGAGGTCATAGACGAAGCAAAAGCGAGACCCTCATTGCTCTCATTGTGTCAGAAACGTGTGCAAAGCTAAATAAAAACCGCTGTGAAAATGTCGAAATCCCGAGGGAACGGGCGTCAATATTTACAATTCGTTAGCTTAGTTGGCATGGAGTAGCCATAGTTGGTAATTATCGGCCACACAAACGCTGTACGCTAAGGGTCACGTGATATACCTGGGTCATAATGCAAGGACACGTCTATGGACTAAGCCGAGAAGTTGTGGAGGACGGCGCTGACCTATTTCCCATGGCTAACGCCGTTTCCATCCCCCACAATAGAAATACGTACCGTCGTCTATGCAACGTATCTATGCCAGATTAATGCGACCTGAGGTCAGGTAAAAAATTACCGAGAAGTAAAACACTGACGAAGTCGGGGGCAGACCATTGTAGCCTGCGGAGGCGATCGCCACCAAACTTGTATGAGCTAATGGACCGTATCCAATCACTGATTCCATCCAGCATGTAGCGGGCTGGAGTACGGTGGAATATAACAAAAGGCAAAAGAAGAGAAAGGATAAGCAGGACAGACCTGCAGCTCCTGAGTTTTTTTTTTTTTTTACTTGCGTTGGGAGTTCTCGCTATGTGATGGATGTTTACTATGCCTGGAAGTAGAGGTCAAACGATGTTGTCGGGATGCATTGGCTACTTTGATAAAACCCGAGGCATATTGCTGTAGTGGCTCCTGCAACACGTGCCACCATATCATGTTTATCATTGGCATATAAATATGTGCGGGAGTAAATGTGGACAACGAAAATTTGATGGTATTCACGTAAACTGAACCGATCGAGAACACACGATGCGGTTTTACACTATCTAAAACATTTTGCGCACCTGCGGTCCGCCAAACTGTTTTTTATCGGACAAATTAAGTCGTGCCCCCACATTGTAAACTCCTGAGCATACCCCTGACAAACCTCGTCACGGGTGAAGAATTTCAGGTCAATAATTGTCATTCAAGAAGTAAGAAATGTTTCCAGCGGTCAGACGTGTCCTATTCGTGGCACTCAATGCATGCTACCCTGGTAAGGTGGGAGCCTTTCAGAAGCATGATGCTGCCGGATGATATTGCACTACAAACGTCCCGAAAAAACAGCTACTAACTAAATCTAGCCGTTCAAATCCTCATGGGCTCGGTCCTCGGGATGACTGCATGCTGAGAGCAGATGGCTGCCTCTGGATATGCACATGCTTCAGCCGGGCATTATCGCCTGCGGCACCAATATTTGAATTCCGACGACAGGCCGCCCGGTGCCAGCACACTGCCGGCCGCGTTCCCGTCTGCGCGCCATGCTGCCGCCGCTGTCCTCGCCGGCGGCGGGGCTGGCTGCGCCCCTGCGGCGGCGCCGCCCGGGGGCAACAGGCGGTCGATGGTGGCGGGCGTCGGCGCCTGCGCGTCGGCCCTGTCGCGGTCGGCGGCGACGGCGGCTGCCGGTGACTGTGACCTGGCGCGCCGGCGGCACCTGAGCGCCGGCGTCCGTCTGCGGTGCGGCGCGGCGCGGGACGAGGCGCGGCGGCCAGGGCGGGCCTGGAGACGGCGGCCACTCGGACGGTGACGGCGGCGACGGCGGCGGCGCGGTACATTGCGGGCCGTTACGCGGCGGTGCCGGATCGATCGGACGTGCGCCATATGTTGCCGACGGTGGGCCGGCCGCACTGTGCACAGGCCCTGGACACGTGCTGACCGCCGGCCGTCCCAGCATGAAGGCTGAACACATCGAGATGAGCAACGTCGGTAAAATCCTGAGAGGTCAGTGGCGACCGCTGGCGGCATGCGGCGCATCTGGGACCGCCAGTCGCCTCTGGCGGAGTCGGCGGCTCGTCGGACGGTGCATCCGGCTGGGTCATGCGTCATGCAAAACCCTTGGCTGCAGGCGGGCATTGGTGGCGCGCAGGATTCCATGCACCTTTATTTTAAGGCGCGTCCTCTCGCCTGCTGTGCTGCCGAGGCGCGGGTTCTGGTGTTTCTGGACGACCTGGAGGCGGTCTGCCTGAGGTCTAGCGGGATTTTGGACTTGGCGGAGCTGTGCTCGTTCTCCCTGAGTAAGCGAGGTTCCGTTGTCGGTTGAGGTAGGACATTCTATCATGGACAGCGACACCACCACTCACATAGCCTTCACCTTGGACGGGGATCCGTCGCTTGATATGCACGTCGATGAGGCTGTACGAGGTCTTTAAGTTATACAGCGCCTCTCGCTACAAGCGGTTCCGTCTTCCGAGGCGGTAAGCGACGGAGTAAGGGGAAGGGGATGGTGCCGCGGTGGCACGATGAGAGGAGAACCTAGTCCACGTCCCGGGCTGATCGCCCGGCGTTGTCGCGCGTGAGGGCGGCGATGAAAGCCAGCGCACTCAGCCGGAGTCTGTCTGTCAGTTGGTGCGGTCTGAATCTCGGCGAATGAGGCGCCGGTGATGTCCAGCATGTTGTCGTCACCACCGTCTTTTCACCACAAACTCTGAGCTGGTTGTTCTCCTGACTGGCACCCAGCACGCGCCGTCATCGTTACCACCGAGAAGGCAGGTGGTGTGTCCTGTAGTAGTGCGCAGGTATGCACCGGCGGAACATTCTCACCGGCCTCTGGCTTCAAAGAGGTTCCACTCAACCCGCACTGGCCGATGAACCAGTGACATTGATCACGGCCGAGTTGAGGCCGGGAGAGCGACTGACCTCGTGCTGAAGACAGACTAGGTGCGGGATCACGGCCGTCGCGGTCCCAGGTGAGGGTGACTGACCTCGGCCTGAGGCCAGGCTAGATGCGAGATCACGACCGTCGTGGTCCCTGTGGAACGTGCCTGTTCGCCGACCAAATGGCGTATCAGCGTTCTCTGGCGGACGTCCGTGCG